AACTTTTTGATTAATAGAACCTGGTCTAGCTCTATAAATATATTCCTTATCGTGTGTTGTTTGGGAAAGAACCAGAGTGGACAATGCTCCATAACTGGGGTTCTTGGGCACATGTAAATATTCCCAAAGCTCAGCACCAGAAAGGGGGGCGCTAGAGCACAGAAACTGCGGTTTGTAGGATATCAGTCCTATGGCAAAGGGTGGCACTTCAATTTATGCCCAGGACGCGTGCTTCTGTCACGAAGTGCAGATGTTGCTGACCAGGACAGATGGACTGCGATCCATGCCAACCCAGATTGCCTACTGCCCCTGCAAGTAAGAGAAGAGGCTTCTTCTCAGCCATTGGAAACGCAGGAGCAGGATGAGGAGGAGGCACAGATTTCCCCAAAGGATGTGGCAATAGATAATACTTCTTCTCTAGAGGAAGAAGAGCCAGAGATAAGGGGGGGGAGAAGTAGTTGTGCCTAGGCACTCCCAGCGTTCAAACAAAGGGTGTACCTTCTCAGCATTGACCCTAGGAGGAGTGAGAGTATGCAATGTGAGTTGTGTGGAACCACAAAGTTATAATGAAGTCTTAGACTTCTTTAGGGGGTAACGTGCTTTGTGGGAACAAGCTATGAAAGAAGAAATGGACTCTTTTAAACATAACAAAGAGTTTGAGGTCATAATGCCGCCTCCATGTGGCAGTGGTGTCATGCAAGTGGGTTTAAAAAAGGAAAACCCTTGCATCTGGGGAACCATGTTTTCGAGCCAGATTAGTAGCCAGAGGGTTCACTCAGATAAAAGGGGAGAGTTATGATGAAGTGTTTTCTCCCACTGCAAAGAGTGAAACTTCGTTTAATGCTCTCTATTGCTGCTGTAAGACAACTAGCAGTGCACCATTTTGATGTTGCTGCTGCATATCTGCATGCAAATTTAGACCATGAAGTGTTAATGAGACAACCCCCTGGTTTTGAAGAGGAGAATGGTGCAGTCTGGCATTTGAGAAAGGCTGTTTATGGTCTCAAACAAAGTGAAAGGTGTTGGAACCAGTGTTTAAATGAAGCCCTTGTAAAACTTGGTTTTGAAAGGAGTGTGGCTGATCCATGCCTGTACACCAAGGGGACAGGCAACAAATATCTAATTGCTCTTTGTCTTTGTTGATGATTTGCTTGTAGCAGGGAGTTCCACAGATGAGATCCAGAAGCTCACAAGTCAACTGAAAGAGGTTTAAGCTTAAGCCTTGGGGCCTGTAAGCAATTACTTGGAAGTAGAAGTAAGGCAGGAAGCTGATGGAAGCTTTCTATTAAGCCAGAAAGAGAAAATTCTTCATTTTGATAGAGCAGTTTGGCATGGAAAACTGCAAGCCAGTTCAGACTTCCCATGACACCAGATTTCCCAAAGACAGTGTGTGATGATGAATTTGATCAGCCTGAGTTGTATCACTCAAAAATAGGATCACTGTTGTATTTAAGCCAGTGGTCAAGGCCAGACATTGCATGTGCTACAAATGTTCTGAGCCAACGTGTATCTAAAGCCAGTACTGCCAATTGGTGTGCTTTGAAAAGGCTTATCAGATACCTAAAGGGGACATTAAATGTATGTTTAAAGATATCTAGTACACAAGATGAAAAACTAGAAGCATTTTTTTGATGTGGACTGGGGAAGCTGTGTAGCTACTAGAAAATCTACAAGTGGAATGGTTATGTTGTTTGCCAATTCCAAGAAACAAGGATTTGTTGCAACCTCATCCTGTGAGGCAGAATATGGGAGCCTGTCGCTAGCATGCAATGAAATCATATGGTTTATACAGATACTAAAAGATCTAGATTGTAAAGTAGATTTGCCTATCCAAGTGTATGAAGATAGCCAATCGTGCATTGCATTAGCGGGCTCGGAAATAATGAAATCCGCATCAAAACATATTGCTATCCGTCATGCGAATGTGAGAGATTGTGTACAGAATGGGGTAATCAAACTGGAGTATTGTCAGTCACAAGATAATATTGCTGATTTGTTTACCAAGCCTTTGCCAGCAACATGTCTTAATGAATTGATGACAAAACTGGGTTTATGTATATAGTGTATGTATGTATTGTATGTATGTATTGTTTCTGTTAGGGCTTTTCGCATTTAAGAAACAGAAGGGGTGTCACGGATAAATGGCCGCTGTTTCTTTAATGCGAATAAAGCTGGGTCAGCATGACTCAGCGGCTTGCACCAAGTTGTATATATAGAGTGAGAAATGTTAGTTTGGTTGCTGGTGTTTGGGTTGGTTAGTGCTGGTGTGTATAGTTGTTCAGTTGCTTTTGAACAAAGACTTTTAAGAATAAAACTCTGCAAGGATATTCTCGTGGACTCTTTTGTGCCGACAAGGGTCCGAGGACCAGGCTAAGGAGACAAAGGGAGGTCAAAACCCTTACCTCCTTTTTTGCTTTTTACAAACACTGACAGTTGCTATGCACCTCCTGGGGCCCAAGGGACTGTGTGGGGTGATTCATAAATATCCAGAGGTCCAAAGGGCTAAAATGTGCCCCAGAGGTGGAATAATATTACACAGAGAATGAAAAATGTCATTAGCAACTCTGATTCTGAGAAATGGAGGGCACGTTCGTGGAAGAACAACTCCCTTTCCTGTGAGGCAGGTCCTTATTTAAAAAGGCAACCCCACAACTGTATTCTTAGATGAAACTACTTTATTAATGATGATTTAGTATTATGGAAGGTTGATGATGCGTTCCTATTATTTGGCATTGTTTCACCTCATTTGCTTAAAATTTGGAACATAAAGAAGACAGGGAGGAATGTACAATAGGTTGAAATAAGAGAAGGTGCTAATTGCATTTGATGTGTGTTACAGTCTTTGTTCTCTTCCTTGAAATACTAACAGGGGTTTCCTCTCCTCTCATTTCCAAGCAGGTTATGGAGAAGACAGTGTGTCATCTGTAATTTCATTTGGAAATACGAAGAGACCATTTAAATGTGGTGAATGTGGAATGTGCTTCAGTCAATGTGCACAGTTAATAAACTCACAGAGTGGGGAAGCCGTTTAAAGGTATGGAGTGTGGAAAGAGCTTCAGACAAACTTCATCTCTTACTTTACATCGTCTAACTCACATGAGTGAGAAACCCTACAAATGTATGCAGTGTGGATGGAGATTCAGTATGAGTAGACAACTTATTGTACATCAAAGGATTCACGCAACAGAAAAACCATTTAAATGTATAGAGTGTGGAAAGAGCTTCTGTCATAGCATAACGCTAAGCAACCATCAACGGACTCACACAGGGGAGAAACCATTTAAATGTATAGAGTGTGGAAAGAGCTTCTGTCATAGCATAGTGCTAAGCAAGCATCTACGGACTTACACAGGGGAGAAACATTTAAATGTATGGAGTGTGGAAAAAGCTTCCGTAAGAGTTTTATCACTTAATAGACATCATCAAACTCACATGGGTGAAAACCCTACAAATGTATGCAGTGTGGAAGAGCTTCACACATAATGGAAACCTTAGCAACCATCAACGGACCCACACAGAGGAGAAACCATTTAAATGTATGGACTGCGGAAAGAGATTCACACATAATGGAATCTTAGCAACCATCAGCGGACCCACACAGGGGAGAAACCATTTAAATGTATGGACTGCGGAAAGAGCTTCAGACATAATGGAAACCTTAGCAAACATCTACAGACTCATACAGGGGGGGAACCATTTAAATGTATCGAATGTGGAAAGAGCTTCACACATAATGGAAACCTTAGACAACATCTACAGGCTCATACAAGGAAGAAACATGTAAATGTATTGAATGTGGAAAGAGCTTCAACAGTGGTAGAAATCTAGACAGCATCAATGGACTCACCACAGGGGGAGAAACCCATTTAAATGTATGGTCTGCGGAAAGAGCTTCACACATAATGGAAGCCTTAGACAACATCTACGGATTCACACAGGGGAGAAACCCATTTCAATGTATGGACTGCGGAAAGAGCTTCACACATAATGAAGCCTTAGACAACATCTACAGACTCACACAGGGAAGAAACCATATGAATGTATGGATGTGGAAAGAGCTTTCGTTCAAGTGATCATCTGACTTACATCATAGAACTCACACAGGGGAGAAACCATTTAAATGTATGGACTGCGGAAAGAGCTTCACACATAATGGAAACCTTAGAAAACATTTCGGAGTCACACAGGAGAGAAACCATTTAAATGTATGGAGTGTGGAAAAAGTTTCAGTCAGAGTTCATCACTTAATAGACATCATCAAACTCACACGGGTGAGAGACCTTGTAAATGTTTGGAATGTGGAAAAAGCTTTCGTTCAGGTGATCGTCTGACTTTACATCATCGAACGCACACAGGGGAGAAACCATTTAAATGTATGGAGTGTGGAAAGAGCTTCAGTCAAAAGGGAACTCTAAGACTACATCAACAGACTTGCACAGGGGGGAAACCATTTAAATGTATGGAGTGTGGAAGGAGCTTCTGTCATAGTGGAACGCTAAGTAATCATCAAAGGACTCACACAGGGGAGAAACCTTATACAGCAAATGTATGAAGTGTGGAAAGAGCTTCAGTCTAAAGGAAACTAAGAGTACATTAACAGACTCACAGGTGAGAAACCATTTAAATGTATGGAGTGTGGAAAGAACTTCAGTCAGAGTGGACACCTTACAAAACATCAATGGACTCAGAAAGGAAGAAACATTTAAATTCCAGGAGTGCAGAAACTGCTTCTGTTTAATGGAGTACTTACAAAATGTTTACGGACTTATATGGAAGGAACCATTTAGATGTATGGAGTGTAGAAAGATTTATCCTCAACAAGAGGAGGAGGAGTTTGGATTTGATATCCCCCTTTATCACTACCCTAAGGAGTCTCAAAGCGGCTAACATTCTCCTTTTCCTTCCTCCCCCACAACAAACACTGTGTGAGGTGAGCGAGGCTGAGAGACTTCAGAGAAGCGTGACTAGCCCAAGGTCACCCAGCAGCTGCGTGTGGAGGAGCGGAGACGCGAAACCGGTTCACCAGATTACAAACCACCGCTCTTAACCACTACACCACACTGGCTCTCTCAAGGGTTCATTTCTTCCTTCTAATGAACAGGCTCCTATAGGTGGAAATCAAATTTAAATGCATCCCATGTATGTGATGATCTGGTGTTTTAATGTAAAGTTGTACTTTCATGTAGTAAAGTAATCAAGGTAGCTTATCACAATAGTTAGTAATGTATAAATGGCTTTGTACATCGTACCTCAGGTTACGAACAGCCTGGTTGATGAACATTTTGGATCATGACAATTTCAAACCCGGAAATGAGTTGGTTAAACTAGTATTATAGGAATGGCAGCATGACATGCATTGTTTTAATTGCGGCCCAGGACCCACGTACCTACGGGACCGCCTCTCCTGGTATGCCCCGTGGAGGACCTTAAGGTCCACAAATGACAACATTTTGGAGTTTCCAAGTCACAAGGTGGTTAGATTGGTCTCAAGTAGGGCCAAGGCCTTTTCAGTACTGGCCCCGACTTGGTGCAACGCTTTGTCACAAGAGACTAGGGCCCTGCGGGACTTGACATCTTTCCGCAGGGCCTGCAAGACAGAGCTGTTCCACCTGGCCTTTGGTTTGGACTCAGTCTGACCGTTGTGTTTGCCTCCTCTTATGGTTTTGATCTGTGGGCTACTTTTAAAAATGAGGCTGTATTTTAAATTGCATTTTAACCTGTATTTTAAATTGGTATGGTTTTTTTCCCTATTATGTTTTTACTGCAATTTTACTGGTGTTAGCCGCTCTGAACTTGGCTCTGCCCGGGGAGGGCGGGGTATAAATAAAACCTATTACCGTATTTTTTGCTCTATAGGACGCATTTTTCCCCCCTCCAAAAATGAAGGGGAAATGTGTGTGCGTCCTATGGAGTGAATGCAGGCTTCAGGCAGCTATACGCAAGCCTTCTGAGCGCTCCGAAGGCTTGCGGATAGCTCCCTGTTCTGGGGGCTGGGGTTGGGGGAAGCTCGGGCTTTCCCCGTCCCAGCCCCGCGGCTAAAAACAAAGCCGTGCGCAGCTTCTCCCGGTTGGACAGGTTGTGCGTGGCTAAAGAGGAAGCCAAGACAGCTGTCTTGGCTTCTTTGCTTTTGGGGGCTGTCGGGGGGGAAAATAATTTTTTTTCTTTATTCCCACCCCACCCCCCTAAAAACTAGGCACACCGTATGGTCCGGTGTGCCCTATGGGGCGAAAAATACGGTAGTAATAATAATAATAAAGCAACAAATAGTTTATACATTAATTGTGCTGCAATGACTCCTGATTCTTTGAAGGGCAAATTGTTCAGGTAAAACATACCTGGTGGCAGCAGGAATAAAGGGGATGTTTAGATCAGAAGGTTGGCAGTTCCAGTCCCCCCGATAGGGTGAGTTCCCGTTGCTCGGTCCCAGCTCCAGCCAACCTAGGATTTCGAAAGAACGAATTGTAAGTAGATAAATAGGTACTGCTCCGGCGGGAAGGTAAACGGCGTTTCTGTGCGCTGCTGTGGTTTGCCAGAAGCGGCTTAGTCATGCTGGCCACGACCCGGAAGCTGTACGCCGGCTCCCTCGGCCAATAAAGCGAGATGAACATCGCAACCCCAGAGTCGTCCGCGACTGGACCTAATGGTCTGGGGTCCCTTTTCCTTTACCTTTTAGTGGAATAAGGAAGAAAGTCTCAGCTCTTAGGTGTGCATCTTGCATGAGGTGGGACGGTTGGAACAGGGCAGTGTGGGCAAGTGGCAGGTGACACGAGAGGGTGTAAAATACATGAGTGGAAACTCATGCCTGATTGTCCCCAACTTAGCACCCAGAGGGGGGAAAGCATAGGAGAACTTCCTACAAATCCATGAACCAAGACATACCTACTATTACAGGAAACAAGAAACCAATAGGGCACAGAGAGGGGTCGAAGTGTGAAGGGAAAGTTAACCCTTACCTCTCCATCTGTGGCCCAAACACAACTCCACTGGAAGAATGGTACACATTTGGAAAGAAAAGATGCTGCAGGTACCAGTGAATCCCCTGGTCGGTCCATTTTCACTTATAAGCATCATGGGGCTACCCCAGGGCTACTGCTTTTGTGACAAGCAATCATCATCATCATCATCATCATTGATTGGGTTGCCCAGACACTCTGGAGTCTTCTAAAAAGTTATGTACTGTGGTTCTTTATCTGCATGGCATCTCAATACATCTCATGGGAGAGCATTTCACAGGGCGGGCGCCACCACCAAGAAGGCCCTCTGCCTGCTTCCCTGTAACTTTCTTCTTGGAGTGAGGGAACCAGCAGAAGACCCTCTGAGCTGGATCTCAGTGTCTGGGCTAAACAATGGGGGTGGATTTGCTCCATCCGGTATACAGGGCCAAGGCCAATTAGGGTATGCACCAACACTCTGAATTGCGCTCAGAAACATACCGGGAGCCAATGCAGGTCTTTCAGGACCAGTGTTATATGGTCCTGGCGGCCGCTCCCAGTCACCAGTCCAGCTGCCACATTCTGAATTAGTTGTAGTTTCCAAGCCACCTTCTAAGGCCACCGCACGTAGAGCGCATTGCAGTCATCCAAGCCGGAGATAAACAGAGTATGCACCACTCTGGCGAGACAGTCTTCGGGCAGGTAGGGTCTCAGCCTGCATACCAAATTGAGCTGGTAAACAGCTGCCCTGGATGCAGAATTGACCTGCACTCCCATGGACACCTGCGAGTCCAAAATGACTCCCTGGCTGTGCACCTGGTCCTTCAGGGGTACAATTACCCCATTCAGGACCAGTGAGCCCTCCACACCCGCCTGCCCCCCTGTCCCTCAAAAACAGTATTTCTGTCTTGTCAGGATTCAACCTCCATCCATTAGCTGCCATCCATCCTCAACCTCCTCCAGACACTCACACAGGACCTTCACTGGTTCTGATTTGAAAGAGAGGTAGAGCTGGGTATCATCCGCATACTGCTGAACCCCCAGCCCAAACCCCCTGATGGTCTCTCTCAGCAGTTTTATATGCATGTTAAAAAGCATGGGGGAGAGGACAGAGCCCTGAGGCACCCCACAAGTGAGAGCCCAGGGGTCTGAACACACATCTGCCAGAAACCACAGGAGATCTTGGACCAGCTAGAGCAAGGCAGTTTCAGTCTCAGGATGCAGCCTGAAACCCGACTGGAAGGGGTCCAAGTGATGTGCTTCCTCCTATCCAACTTGGTTGCTTTTGCATGTACGGTGCCACCCGTAGGCATTTTTTTAACAAAAGTAGCAAAGGCTAGAGTTTCATTTTCCTTTATTTTTTTAGAGGTAGAAGCACTGCCAACATGCAACCCTTGCAAAAAGAGAGGTCTGTTTCCTTCTGGCTGGGTGGAGGGCACGATCTTGTTATACATCTTGTTCCCTTCAGGATTAAAGCCAGTTAATGCAATTTCCCAGAGGGAAAGAGAGAAAGGGAGGCTGGGTGCTCGCCCTCCCCATCGCCCAGCACCTTCCCCTAGAAAGGGGGCGTGGCTTACAAGAAAGACTGCCCCTCCCCCTCGCACCTCCTGCCGCTCCTGACCTCCCAGGAATCGGGCTGAGTGCAAAGCGCCTTGAGGCGCAGCAAACTTTTGTTTTTGGTGGGGGGTACAACGTCGGTGGCGAAGGGACGCGGGTGGCGCTGTGGTCTAGACCACAGAGCCTAGGACTTGCCAATCGGAAGGTCGGCGGTTCAAATCCCCTTGACGGGGGGGGGGGGGGGGTTGAGCTCCAATTGCTCGGTCCCTGCTCCTGCCAACCTAGCAGTTCGAAAGCACGTCAAAGTGCAAGTAGATAAATAGGTACCGCTCCAGCGGGAAGGTAAGCGGCGTTTTCATGCGCTGCTCTGGTTCACCTGAAGCGGCTTAGTCATGCTGGCCACATGACCCAGAAGCTGTAAGCCCGCTCCCTCGGCCAGTAAAGCGAGATGAGCGCCGCAACCCCAGAGTCGGCCACGACTGGACCTAATGGTCAGGGGTCCCTTTACCTTTATCTTTACAATGTCGGTGGGATGTGGGGGCAGAGCGAGAGAGAGCAGACAGGGAAAATGCTGGACAGGTGAGGAAAGAAGAGATCCCCCCCCCCCATGAAGGGACGTGGGTGCACACCTGGTTCATCTTCCTTGCAGAGAAGAGCCAGTGAATCTCCCTGAAGGTGCATACACACAAACACACACACACACACACACACGTGTGAATGCGCACACACAGAACATAAGAAGGCCCTATAGTTGGAGCAGACCAAGGGTCCCATCTCGCCCCGAATCCTGCTCTCCCGGAGTCCCAGTGGGAAACCAGATGCCCGTTTTGGGAATCCTGCAAGGAGAATTTCAGCCCAAGAGCATCTCTCCCCTCCCTGCTCGGTGGTCCAGGCAGCAGCTGGAAAATGCTGTCTGCAGAGTTTGGAGTCTGTTTGGGTTCTCTGTCAGGGACCAAAGGGTCTTGATCCGGCCGTGCTCCTCCTCCTCCAGAAACCCCCTCCCCCGTCAATGGGGTGGGCGTGGAGTTGGGCAACTTCGCAAGGGAGCCCAAAGGGGAGGAAGCCGAAGGCAGCGTCGTCACGTCCGGCTCCCATGCGAAAAGAGGGACTTCTTCCAGGAAGGGGTCTCTCTGTGGGTCGGAAGTTAGCAGGAAGTGGGGGCAGAAGGAGCCCCTGGAGAAGCGAGAGGTCTGAGAAAGGTAAAGAGGGGCGCCAGTCGACCACGGACCCCCCCTTCTCCGCTTTATATTGCAAGAAAGGAAATCGGAATAGCTACGAAGGGAGGCGGATGGTCAGAGGAGAAAGAGGTAAAGATGCCGGTGGAAGGAGGGGGGGGAGGAAAAGGATAGAGAGACCCTTTCTTGCTCCCCCAAAAGCTCCTGCCTTGGGACGAGGGCGGGGAGGGGCGATGGGGTCGGAGAGAAAGGGGCACAGAGCCCCCCCATTAATCTCTTGTCCTGGCACCCATATGGAGAGGCTCGCATCCATGCAAGGCAGCTGCAAAGCGTGGACCCCCCCACCTGCAGTGTTTCCCTTGCGCCGTCTCCTTTGAAGCCCCCCCCCCACCAGACACGTTTTCCCACCAAGGGGGTGCCCCCAAAAGCCCCCACCCCCAAGCAGGGCGAGCCGTGCCAAGGAGGGCCAGAGGGTGTAGGGGAAACTCTGGCGAAGAGGGGGGAGCAGAGGATGTTGGGGGGCTGAGGGTTGAATGGAAGCCTCCCTGGGGGTGAGACGCCATGTTGATAAATGGCAGGGGGGTGGAGAA